CCCCTCAACCAGACTCTGATGGCTCTGGCGGAGCTGCTGCCCGAGCACGAGCGCCTGCTGGCCGCCGGCGCACTGCTGCGGGAGGTGGGCAGCTGCTCGACAGCTTCCCAACAGCTTCCCAACCGCTTTGACCCCGCTTCAGAGGCCGTGGGGCGGGGAAATGGGGCAGGCTTGGTGCTTGCGCAGCCTTGCAAGTGGTGAACGCCCGCATTGCAGCCGCCCCGTCGCCATCCTGCACAACAGGCGGCGTCCTCGGTTGCCAGCACGCCGCGCAAGTCTCATCACAACCGCCACGACCGCAACCCATCAACGCCGACCACGGTTCCTCATCCGCCCAGCGCAATTGCAACAGTGTGTGACTTACAACGCCAAATGTGCAACCTGAACCTCGCAGTGTACCCAAACCTCAACCCTTCCAAACTCCGCTTTCAAAGGTGGCGGCCGCGCTCGAGCGCGCGCTGCTGGACGGCGGCCCCTCACGGCTGTTTGTGCCGGCCGACGTGGAGCTCCTGACAGCCGACCTCTCATCCCTCAAACAGCTCTTCTTTGCCGACGGCGACGGCGTGCCGTGGCAGGTGCGCAAGACCTTCTGGGCGCCGCTATGCCTGGGCTGGGTTGGGGTGGGTCCGGGCTTTCCGCTTGTTGCACGAGCTCGGGCCCATCGCGTTGGACGTGCGCGCTCCTGTCGCCGACCCTGGGCCCCCTCTGACGAGCGCCCGGCGGCTCCCGTCCTCCTGCTGCTTGCTCGTCCGCTGTTGGCCGTGCGCGCTGCCTCCTCTCCTCTCTCCCTTGTTTTCCCTCCTCTCGCCCTGCCGAAAATCGCGTGCCTTGGACCATTCTCATCCCTCGGACCATTCTCATCCCTCAACCCTTGTCCATCGACTGCATTACATAATCACCACCAACTGCACAGGACGTTGACTCAGCGCTTGCGGGCGTAACCGCCCTGCTGACCGTGATGGAGGCCCCCACCGCGGCCCTCATCCAGCGACACACCGCCGCGCGCCGCGCGGCGCTGCTCGCCGCCCCCTCGGGCCGTGCCGCCGGCGGCGCAGGACTGAGTCCGCTGAGCAGCCCTCGTGTCGGAGGCGGGGGCGGCTTGCTATTGCAGCAGCAGCAGCAGCAGCAGCAGTTGGGGCCGCTCGGCGCTGCGGGGTCGAGGCTCGCGACAGTATCAAATATCAGCAGCATTCTGGGAGGCGTGGGCGGCGGCGGCAGCAGCGCAGCAGCAGCGGCGACGGCGCTCTCGCAGTACGGCTACCCTCGAATCAGCGGCGACGGCGGCGGCGGCGCCGCCGCACAGCAGCCGTCCGGCTCGCGCACGCCGCCGCCTGCGCCCGCGGTGCCGCGGGGGACGGCGGGGCACCGGCGGACGAGCAGCGCAGGCAGCGCGGTCAGCGTGGCGAGCGTGAGCGCGCTGCAGGGGGGCGGGCAGTTTACAGCGGTGGGGCCGGCTGACATGGGGAACAACGACCAGGTGCGCTTGATTTACATGCCTGAATTGTGGAGTGCATGGGGGTATGCATAACTGGTTTAAAGTGAGCGCTGTGGAGGCAACATTCATTGCCGTCGCCTTGGGGCCTGTCCTTGAAGGCTGTGAGCTGTGATCGATCCCGCCACAATTCTGTCATGCCATGCGCATGAGGGAGAACGCAAGCGGACGTTTGTGTGTGTGGGGGGGGAGTGTGTATGTTCGGGAGGGGTTGGGAAAGCGATTGTTTGTGTATGTGTGTGTGCGTGTGTGTGTGTGTGTGTGTGTGCGCGTGGTGGGAAGGCGTGGGAAAAGGACGAGTGTTGCGGGTGAGCGGCGCAGCGATCGTACAGGTGCAGCGTTCAGTAATGAGGGGCCAGCAGCTGCTAACCCCCAGGATGCCGCACCAAGATACAAAGTGGCGTTTGGGCCAAGAGAAGGTGTGTCCCTTGTTCATGGGTTTAAGTCCATTACATCCACACACACACACCCACACACACACACATAGAAATGCAGACTACCTCCCCACATTCCACATGCACGCGTCCTCACTGTCACCTCACACACTCACCCTCCCTGTGTCCACCCCCCCCCCCGCCAGGTCCTGCTGCGTGTGCTGTGCCACAGGGCCGACCACGCCGCCTCAAAGTACCTCAAAGACTCGGTGCGCATACCCAAGCTGAGGGACGAGACCATAAAGGAGACAGTCAGCCGCATCACCAACAAGATCCTGTGACAGGCGGCGTTCTTCTTAGCCGGGCGATGCCGCCAGCCGCCGGCCGCTGACGCTGCCGGCCGCGGCGCTTGCGGGTGGCGGCGAGTCGCGGCTTCGCCTTTGCCGCTCGGCGGGCGTGGCGGGAGAGGGGGAGTTGTCTGATATGAGGGAGCGCGGATCTGCGCTTCAGTCGGCCAGACGGTCTGGGCATCAACTGCACAATGCCAGAACTTGGGCTTCTGCTGGTGTCTTCGTCCCCGCTTCCTCATCTCTGTCGACAGATTGTAGCATTACGCCCTGACCCCTAGCTGACGAGACGCTGCAGCAACCCGCCCAGCGCCAAGCTTGATGCGCCCGCGTCTTTGCCCTGCAGCCACGCATGTCTGGATTTGCTGCCGACATGGGCCGGCTGGCGGTCGGCTCGCTGGGCAGCGCCGCTGCAGCTGCCGCTGCCTCGCTCGCTTATGGATTGCTGGTGTAGCTGGGGGGCCCTGCTGATTTCGGCCCGGCATGGTGGCGCTCCTGCAGGGCTGCAATGCACTGTAACGGCCACCGATGCCGCTTGTGTGCCGTCGTAACCCTGTCGCCTCCCGGCGCTGAGCGTGGGCTCGAAGCCAACCCCGCCCAGAGGCGGATGAAGAGCGACCCAAACAAGCAAATCCCCAAAGACGACGCGGCCTGACAGCAAACCGCCCAGCCCGAAGGCTGCCAATAGATAGCCCCTCTCCGCTCCTCGAGCACTTGAGGGTCGCCCGAGGGCTGCCCGGCCTCCCACCTCCCAGGCTCATTCCCCCCTCAACCGGGTGCCACCGCAGCCGTTGCGTTACACGCACCCTCATCCGCCACCCCATGTGGCGCCGCCCCCGTCGCCGCACCCGCCGCCGGGCGCCACCAGCGGCCCCTGGCGCGTGTACTCGTACATCGCAACCGCCGCGCTGACGTGGACGTTGAGCGACCTGACCACGCCGAACTGGGGGATCTCCACACACTCGTCCATAAGGGCCAACAGGGAGGGCGGCAGGCCCGTCTTTTCCCGTCCGAGGACGAGGCAGCAGCGGCGGGGGAAGGCGAAGGAGGGGAGGCTGCGGGAGTCGGAGGTCTGCTCGAGCCCGACGAGGGCGTAGCTGCGGGCGCGAGGGGGTGTGGGTGGGTGATAGGGGGATGGGAAGGAGGCTTGCTTGAATGAGAGAGTGTGTGTGTGCGCGCGTGTGCATTTGTGTGTGTGTGTGTGTGTGTGTGTGTGTGTGTGTGTAAAGAAGAGAGAGAGGGAGGGAGATGCTTGTGGGATGAGCGCAGGTGCATGCATTCTGGAATCAGGAGTGAGATATGTTTGTGTATGCCTGGGATGAGCGCGGGTCGTGCGGGGACAGGGGACGCGTGACCGGAAAGGCAGGGACCGCCAGACTTTCGCAGGAGCTTTGGCAGGTGCAGACGCCCGCCGCTCGCCCGCCGACGCAAACCCAAAACAGACGCCCGTTCGAGTGCCGCTCCCATGTCAACCCTGGCCCCAGCCCGCCCGCGCCCTCCGGCCCACCCCTCGTCCCGCCGGTTGAGCAGCCACGGCACAAGCGCCGCCTCGGAAACCTCTATGATCGGCACCCAGCGCTCCGCGGTCACGCTGACGCCGACGAAGGCGGTGTCCGACGTCACCCTTGCATCGGCCAGCACGAGGCCGGAGGCTCCCATGATCTCAGCGGTGCGCGCGAGGCCTCCGAGGTTGGGCGCCTGCGGTTTGGACGTGTGCGTGCGTGTGTGCATGCGCGTATGCATATGAAGTTTCAAGTGTGATGGGAGGACGTGAACGTGCGGAGTTTCTGCAGGTGTATGAAAATAAATACAGCGTGAGTAGCGACGTGTGCGCACGGGCAGGTTGTGAGCCGTATGCGCGCCAACAAAACGTCGCGACGAGGGCAATTATGCGTGGAGCTCGCTTTCGGACTTGAGTGTCCGTTCACAGCACTCTCATGCCCTGGCATGGGACACTGACTTTGGCCCAGCAAGCCGCAGAACGCGGCGAGGCCGCCGGTGAGGCGCCGCCTGCAATCTGCAGCCCTGCAGACCCTGCGTGTCCCCCCGCGGCCCGCCCCGGCCGCAAGGGCGCACGGCGCCCAGACCCGTGCAACGCAGCAAACGAGGCCGACCACCCGCAAAACAAGAGAAACACCAAACCCTAGCAGAAGCGGGCCTTCGCGGAAAATTCTGCGACACTCCTATTTCTGATCCGATTTGTATATAAACCCTGGAACCCCACCTTGTCTATGAGGGAGGCCACCACCAGCAGCTCCTGTCGGGGCCGCCCGTCAGGCAGCGGCGCCACGGCAGGCAGGGCTGGGGGACCGGTTGGGTTGGACATTTGTGTTGTGTTTGGCGGGGGAGGGCGAGGGCGGTGACTGTTCATGGGGTAAGCGTGGCGTTGGAAGTCGGGGGGTTGATCAAAATGTGCTACAAGGCGATCCTTGGGCTGGCAATCGCGCCCGCTGGCTCGCCCCTTCCTTGATCCCCTGTGTTGCAAAGCGCCGGCGCCGCCCACCTCGCGCCGCCGCGGCCGCAGCGTCGAGCTGCCCGGCCGTCACGCCGGCCGCCACCAGGATCGCCGCCCGCTCGCCTGCCAGCCCCGGCCCAGCCGACGGCGCGAGCGGCGCGACTGCGGCTGCCCCGGCGCCTTGACTGCCGGCCCCCGTCTGCCGCTGCCCCCGCGCCGCCGCTGCGTCCCCGCCACCGCTGCTGTCGCCGCCGCTGCCGCCATAGCCACCGTCGCCGCCGCGGGACGCGTCTTCCCCCTCCTCTGGCCCAAACAGATCTGAGATCAGCGCAGCCCTTTCAAACGGCGTCAGCTTCCTCTGGACCCCGCCGCCCGCCGCCTGTCGTTCAGACATGGTCAAATCGTCGGTCAAACCACCGGTCAAACCGCCGGTCAAACCGCCGGTCAAACCGCCGATCTCGGCTGCCGCCTCCCGGTCCGCCATCTCCTCCCGCAGGTCAGCCCTTGCGCCGGCGATGTAGGCCTGCACCCGGTCCATCAGTCCGGCGGGGGCGCCCTCGAACGTCATGGTGACGTCATCGCCGTCCCCTGCAGCGTCCAGGCCACCCAGCACGCCAGACGCGGGGGCGTTAGATTTCATGGCGCGTTTTGACAGCTGGGCTCATCTCACGGCCGGGATGTCCTGCATTGTTCCTGCATGTCTGCCTCCAGGCCAACCAGAGCGACGCGTCGATAATCATTCATCAAGCAAGTAATCAATCTCGAAATCATCATTTGCAAGCGGCAAGACAGGGTGAGCCGAACCTCCGGAGCTGCCGCAGTAGACAGCCCGCGGAGACGTGGCCTCGTACGGCCGCCGCTGCAGCAGCGCCGGCCCCAGGGCGCGCCGAATCCGCGCCACGTCAGCGTTTGAGTCCAGGAAGGCCCGCATCTGTGAAAGAGATGTATTTGGAAGTAGATGGCGGATTAGGATGCACTGAACGCGGAGATGCTGGATTTGTTGGTTGTCATGTGCACAGTCAAGGCTGTGAACCATCCGCCAGCCCAGGAAAGGCACAGGCGGCAGGCAGCCTCCGAAATGCAGCAGCACTGCAAGGGGCCGCGGCGCCGTGGAGGACCAGCAAAAGTGGGGAACGCAGCCATTGAGGGCTGGAAAGCAACAACAACGCAGGGCCCCAGGGCGGGGCCCCAACGCACCTGCTGCAGCAGCTGGACCCCGCCTGCTCCCAGCTGCCCCTCCCACAGCCCCGCGCGTCTGTCGCCGCCCCCTCCATCAAAACCGCCACCGCGGCCAGCGCTGGCCCCGCCGCCGACGCCGCCGCCGCCGCCGCCGGCTTCCCCACTGCTGCCGCCGCGGCCGCCGTCCTTGGCGCTTGGACTGCCGGCCCCGTCCCCGCCGCCGTCGCCGTCGCTGCTGCGATTGGCTGCCACGTCAGCAGGGCCCGCCACGTCAGCAGGGGCCGCCCCAGGCAAGCCCAACCCGTCCAAGATGCCGCCGAGCGTGATTAGCGTGAACGCCCGCAGGCTGTTGTTCTGGGTGGCGCACCACGGCAGCATGGCACGCAGCGTGCGGCCCAGCAGGCGGGCGCGGAGGGCGGGCGGGCCGTGCAGCAGCGCCTGCGGGGGCGCGGGATCGCAGGTTTAGGGGTTCCACCGGTTGCCCCAGTCTTCTTGGGTACATGTGGCAGCAACACGAGATCAAAAACATGAGAGATTTCCGCCGCCTGCTCCACTTCCACTGCCGCGGCCCGTTCGCACAAAAATTGACAGGAACGCCGACCGGACCCGCCTGTGCGGCGACGACGACGGCGGTGGGCGTCGCGGGCGTGTGGCGGGCGTAGGCCTCGACCAGCGGCAGCACATGAGACTCCAGCAGCTGCGGCTGCCTCAAGACCAGGATGGTCAAGGCGGCCTCCTGGGGGGCCGTTTCAATTGCGATTCAAATTTGAGGAGGTGTTGAAGGGTGGCAGCTGCGGGGGTCGCAGCGAGGCACTTGTTGCAGGGCACGCAAGGCGTGCGCGGCGCCGCGGCGCTGGTTTCAACTGGAAGAAAGAAACATTGCGGACGTCGCGTCTGTTAGTTTGTGGCAGCCGTCTGCACTGCTACCAAACCGCACACAAACATCAACACATACATACAGTATGTCGTATGCACATGCCCAGCCCATCAGCAACTGACCTGGAGATGCTTCAAGTTGGCCGGCGCGTTGCGCGACGCTGCGGCCAGCACGGCTGCGGGGCAAAGAGACAGCGATGGAAGATCGGCTTTCATCTTCGACCGAGAGCAAAATTTTTCGAACCAGTCCCCGTTGCAAAGCGGCGGCTCCGCCCCATAATAACACGTCATCAAACGCCTTGAAAGACCCTCCAAGGTGTTTCCTCCCGTCCCCACCCCTCCAACCCGCAGGCCACGAGCCTGCGGGTGCCCCTTTGCTGCACGTCCCCGCGGGCGGCGGCCGGGCGTGGCGGCGGCGCCCGGCGTTTTGTGATGGCAGGAGGGGGCGAGTTTGATTGTGGGCGAGGCGTCTGCGCGGCAGCCGCACCTCGGGCAGCTTCCGCAACGTCTGGGGGTTCCCTGCAGAAGCGCAGCGCCACTAGCAAGGCCTGCCACGCGCGCATCTTGAGGGGTGGGGGTGCAGGGGGTGGCGGGGACTCGTCTCTGTCGGTTGAGTATGGTCCAGACTCGCACGGTTTCAGGGGACCCGGGAGGGAGCCACCCTTGGCCCGTTTGAACACTGTTTGTGTGCCACTCAAATGGAATGGAGGCGCAAGCTTTGGGTCGAACACACCCCTGACCGGCCAAACACGCTGCCGATTGCACCGCTCGCGGTTCAATGCAGGAAAACCGCCGCCCTCGCAAATGGCGCGGGCACGCACCTGCAGGCGGTGGGCGTCGCCCCCCGACTTGACGCACTCGCAGCACAGCCGCGGGTCTGTGGTCACCTCCTAGTGCCCCAGGCAGGCCGAAGTGCCGGGAAGGGCGCAGACACAGGAGGGTTTACGCGCTCGAGTGTGGAGGAGGGTTGGACCAGTAAAACTTCTTTGACGCGGTTTGGGTTGAAGCCCGCACCGCCCGCCGCCGCTGCTTTCGGGGGCCGTGCATACTTTGAGATGTGAGTCGCACGGAGGAAACACAGGGGGGCCCACGCCGCAGGGCACGGCGCCAGCGGACGGGCCAGATGCGCTTGTGGATCAGATCAGATCAGATCAGATCAGATCACGCATGGGTAATGCTGCGGGGTCCGCCCACCTGCAGGAGCTCCTTCCAGAACCTGAGGCCCGCCGCCAGCGCCTGCTCCCGCCACTCCACCCCATCCTCCTCCAGTTCGTCCGGTCGCTGCCCCTGCTCCCACCGCTGCTGCTCCTCCTGCCGCCGTCGCTGCTGCTGCTGCTCCTGCGGCCGCCGCTTCCCCTGCTGCTGCCGCTCCTCCTCCGCGTCTCCCTGCCGCCGCTGCAGCTGCCGTGGCGCCTCGTCCCCCTCCCCCAGCCCCAGCCGCGCCCCGAGCCTCGCCAGCGCCGCAGCCACGGCCAGTCGTGGCGCCGCCTCGCCAGCCAGCAGGGCGGGGCCGAGGGAGGGGTCGACCTGGCCCCTCAGATACCGCAGCTCCTTGGGCTCCTGCGTGGCCGCGCCGCCCTGTTTGTGTTTGTCGATGATGCGTCCAAGGTTGCGGTCGGTCGAAGGGCGGGGAGGGATCCCGAAGTCATGGCAACAGGGAAGTGTGAGCGATTCGACGCAGGAGTGCTTGAGACGCATCACAGGGCGGGCAGACCGACACAGGCGGCGAGGCCAGCAGTGAAGGCCGCCTTGTAAGGGGCCCATTAGGCGTCGGCGTTCATGCAGGCCGTGCGGCCGTCGCAGGCGCCCAACACCCTCAAACTAGGCGAGGCAGGGCCTTGCATTGCCCGAGGGAAACGGCGAACAATGAGTATGCTTGGGATTCAAAGCCAGACCCGTTACTGGCTACGTCTCTTTGTGCTCGCGGATACCCGGTGTGGTACGTTCACCCGCCCCCCACACCCGCCCAAAACAGGAAAATGTTTGTCGGCCGCCCCACCCACCAGGTCGTCAGCGGAGCCGGCAAACGTGGACAACCCGCCTTCAGGGCACCGCCCCATCAGCAGCTGCCGCAGCTCGGGCCCATACCACGCCAGCGCTGCCGCGCCGCGCGGCCCGCCCCCGGCTGCCAGCGCCGCCAGATGCAGCGCCAGCGCGATGCCGAGCGCGGGGCTGCGCGCCGACAGCCGCAGCGCCCCCTGGACGAGGGATCTCAGGGGTCCTGGGGCCGCCCCTTCGGCTTCCGGATCTCGATTTTGGGAAGTCCCTGGCGCTGCCTCGCGGCGGGTCGCGGATGGTGGATCTCCAGATGGCGGTGATGGCGGCGACGAGGAAGGCGGAGGGGCGCGCGGCGGGGGCGCCGCTGCGTAATGGAGGGAAGAGAGGTCCGGCCGATCGAATGCGGCGGGCAGCAGCGCCGCCCCGAGCAGCGCGGAGCAGAGCGCCACGGGGCGCCGCTTGAGCGACGTCAGCGCGTCGAGCAGCGCGGCGCAGAGCGCGGCCGCGATCCGAGCCGGCGCGGCGGCAACGGCGGCGGCGACCGGAGGCGCGGGTGGTGGCGTGGGGGCGTCGCCGCGCTCGAGGGCGGCGGCGAGGTGGGCCTGCCAGGGGTGAGGGAAGTTGATGTCGTGCACGTGGGTTGCAGTTGCCAGGGGAAATTGTGACCGCAGGCCTTCCACAAGCGCTGTTCCTGCGAACGTCGCGTGCCGATTCCACCCCACCAAACGCTCCCCTTGCTGGCGCGACTCGTGCGCGCCCCGCCCTCCCTCTGGGCTGCATTCTGCGTACCTATCCCTCCGACACACGCGCGCCTGCACGCATGGAAAGCGCCCCGCAATCAGCAGCAACCCCCTAAAAAGGGCCGCCCAGGGCCGTGTCGCACCTGGAGCTCTGGAGGGGCCGCCAGCGCCGCCGCCCACAGCCGCCGCGCGCACCGCACCACCTCCAACAGGCCCGCCTCGTCGGGCGTCCACCTCAGCGCGTCGAGCGCCGCGGGGAACAGCGCGAGCAGCAGCGGCTCCGGTAGCTGCCCGGCAGCTGCTTGTGGCTGGCCGCGAGTGACATCATCGCCCAGCGCTTCCAATAGGTCCAGCACCGCCGCCAGGCAGGACCAGTCAACATTGATCGGATTCGGATCCGTATCGTTGACTCCCAACGCGTCGGCGCCCCCGCATGCTGGCGCGGCCGCAATCCCCGCCGCCGCCGCCGCCCAGCCTTCGACGTCCCCCCACGCCGGCAGCACTCGCGGCCCCGCGCCGGCGGCGGCCGCGCGGCGCAGGCCGGAGGCCGCAGTCTGCAGCGCGCGCAGCGCCGCTGCGCGGCGCTCTGCCGCGCCGCCGGCGCCGCCTCGGGATGCCAATACCACGCCTTCCGGCACGCCCATTGATGCGATGCGGTTCCCTATCGCCGCCAGACTGCCTGTTACCTTTGATAGCCCTTCAAGGAGCCCCCTGCCGCCGCCGGCACCCGCCGCCGCGCGCGCCAGCAGTGCCGCCGCGAGCGCGGCCGCCTTCACCGCTGCCTCCGCGCGCGCCCCCGCCGCCCACTCCTCTGGCGAAAGCCCGCCGCCCCCGTTCTCGTTGCCTTGGCCCACAGCCCCACTTCCCACGCCGCCGTCGCCACGGCCGCTGTGTCCGTCCCAGCCGGCGGACGCGCATGCCAGCTCAGCATAGTCTGCGAGGCTCTCTGCAAACGCGCCCTGTGAAAGCGCCCCGACCAACTCGACCGCAAGCGGCGGCAGGGCGGCGCCCCCGCCGCCCGCCGACGCGCCGCCGCCGCCATCGAGGGAAGAAACCCCGGCCCCAGCCGCGGCCGCGAGCGCCGCCGCGCGCTCGGCGGCGCCGAGGGCGCCGCACAGCATGCACAGCGCGCGGTCGCGGAGGGAGGGAGACAGGTAGGGGCGGGAGTAGCAGTCCCGGGCGCGGCGCGCGAGGTCGGATGCAGCGGCGCGCGCGTGGGTGCGGAGCTCGGGGCCGCAGATCAAGACCAGCCTAGCAGGGTTGCGGCGTGGCAAGGAGAGGCGAGGTGAGGTGATGGGAGGATAGATGCGCTCCTTGAAAGGGTGCTGGATGCGTCCAGGCAGGCTGGTGAGTCGCCAATGAGGAGGTTTGCGCGCGGTTGACCAAGTCAAGGGCTGCTGAGCAGATGATTATGCAGCCGCAGGCCGGTGGCGACAACTTGGCAAACAGCAGCCTCGAGGGTCGCAGCGGCGACCATCAAGTGTTAACGTAAGGCACGACTTGATGCAGATCAGCACAATCAATCCACAAGATCCAACACCGGGCCGCTCGCCTGCTCCAAGCCTCGGAAGCGTCCGTCCATCGCACGTACTCGCTCGCCCCGCTCGGCCGCCGCTGCGCCCCGCCGCCGCCGCTGCCTGTCCCGCTTCCCGCCGCGGCGCCGTCGCCGCCGGCCTCAAAATACACGTCCCACAGCCGGCCCGCCTCCGCTTCCACCGCGGCCGCGCTCTCCGCCCCTGCCGCCTGCAGCCGTCCATCATTCTGCGCCTCTTGCTGCGCCTCTTGCTGCGCCTGCTGCGACGCGTCCTCTCCTAGCAGCCAGGCCCTGGCTTCGAAATGCAGCTCACCACCCTCTGGTGCCTCGCACCAGGCAGGCAGAGCCGTCAGGACACGCAGCGAAGCCGCAAACCGGCCGTCCCCAGCACCGCCGCGCGGCGCGAGGCGCGCGGCGAGGCGGAGCGCCGCGCGGCAGCAGTCGGCGCGCGCGGCGGCGCCGTGCCGCCAGCCGCCGGCGGCCAAGAACGAGGCGAGCTTGTGCAGCTGCTCGGATGCCCACCGGTGGCTGCTGCTGCACTCGTCGGCACCGCCGCTGCCGCTGCCGCCCTCGCCGCCGCCGCCGCTGCTGCGGATGCTGCTACCCCGCGGCTCGTCCCCCTCCGCCGCCGCCGCCGCCGCCGCCGCAGCGGCTGGCCAGTCTAGAAGCCCGGCTCCTGCCCCACGCGCCGCGGCCAGCGCACATGATATGTATGAGAGCACCCCCGGCCGCGTGAGCTCCCTCGGGGCCGCAGGCGATGCGAGCGCGTACAGCAAGTCTGACACCAGCGCGCGCACGTCTCCGGGCGCTGCCGCCGTGGCCCACGCGCCTGCGAACTCGGCTGCAGCGGCGCCCGCATCAAACGCCGCATCGCCGCCGCCGCCGCCGCCAGCAGCGTGATGCACTGGCGAGTTTAGGGCCGGCAGGAGGCAGCCAGACAGGAAGCTGGCGGGAACCTGCCTGGCGAACTCCGGCCGCCAGTCCCGCTTGAGGAGCGTCCGCATGGCCGCCCTTTGCACTGTTATTTGCTCGTGACTCAGCGCCAGCCGCCACAGCACCTCTGTCCACTCAAAGGGCAGCGCCGGCTGCGCCGCTGCCGCCGCGTCCGCTGCCGCCGCCCCCCCTGCGCCCGCGCCGCGCCCGTGCCCGCGCGCGCCGCCGCGACCGCCGGCACGGCCGCCGGCGTTGACCCTGTCAGATCGCGCGTTTGACCGAGCGTCCGTGTCTGCGTCCCGGTCAGCGTGCCTTGGGTCTACTGGGTGCAGCTGCGACACCTGCGGCCGGCGGAAAGTTCACACCAAGAAGAGGCAGTGACGCCACGTGACGTCACCATATCAGAGGCGGTGGTGGCGAGCGACGGCCGCGGCTGTACACCTTGATGCACTTGTGTGTCAGGGTGCATCATCACATCCCGACATAGTTGGCTTCAGGGCCCGCGGGTGGGCCCTGCGCTACTGGCATGTCTGGTATGCGACACGACACGCCCGGGGGGTGTGGGGGTTGTTGCGCATCGCCGTTGGAGCCACACGCCTGCCGCGGTTGGCGGCCCAACAGCGTGCGCGTGTCGAAAGAGCGTCCTCACCAAGTGCCACGTCGCCGCCTGCAGGTGCTGTGTAAAGTCCTCCAGGGAGCCATACACCCCCATCCATGCCGCCCACGCCGGCCGCCCCGCCGCCGCCACCGCCGCCGCGCCGGGCGGCAGCAGCGCCTGCAGCAGGCGCAGCGCGCGCTTGCGGTTGAGGGGCTCGGGGTCTGACAGGCAGCCACGCAGCAGCCCCCAGAAGCGCTCCGCGTCCTCTGCTTGCACAGCGAGTCGTGGCTGCTGCTGCTGCTGCTGCTGCTGCTGCTGCTGCTGCTGCTGCTGCTGCTGCTGCTGCCGCTGCTCCTGCTGCTGCTGCTGCCGCTGCTGCGTGCCCTCGTTCGCGCCGCTCTCACACGGGCCCGCGCCGCCGCCCGCCCCGGCGCCGTCCTCGCGTCCGCCGCCAAGCCCCGCGCCGGCCGGCGGCGGGACATCCCAGCAGTCTGCGTGCTGCAGCAGCACGGCGAGCCCCATCCGCCGTGCAAGGCCACCGCTCGCCAGCATCCCCACGCATGCCTGCCACACCTCAGGCAGCGCCGCCGGCGCCGCGGCGGCGGGGTCTTCAACGGCGGCGGCGGGGTCTTCAACGGCAGCGGCGGCGGCGCGGGCCGCGGCGAGCGCGGAGGGAAGCAGCAGCTGCAGCGCCGCGCGGCGCAGGTCGCCGCGGGGCGCACGCAGGCACGCGAGCGCGGCATTTAATAGGGCCCCCTCCGCGGCGCAGCGGAGGAACTGCCACGGCCCTTGCTCATCCGCGTCCCCGTCGCTGCTGCCGCGCCCGTGCGCAGCGCGGGCCGCCGAGTCCGCCGCGGCTGCAGCCACCAAGTCGGACACAAACACGCCGCTCAGGCCGGGCGGGAGCGGCCAGGCACTGGATTGGTCCCCCTGCCCGCCCGGCGCGCCGCCGCCGCCGCCGGCGCTTACGCCGACGCTTGCGCCGACGCCCTCCGGCGGCGCGGCCGCCAGCGCCGCGGCCGCCGCTGCGGCGAGCAGCTCGCCGGCAAGCTCCCATTCGCCGCGGCGCCGGAGCAGGGCGGCCGCGGCGGCCGCGAGCTGCCGCGCCGCCAGCGCCCCGCCCTCGCCGGCGCCCGCCGCGGCGCGCGCGAGCGGCAGCAGCGCGGACAGCAGCAGCTCGCGCACGTCGCGGGTGGAGTAGCGGGCGGGCGCGGCATCCAACTGCGCGAGCGCGAGCGCCGCCGCGGTGACCCGTCGCCCTACAGGCGTCACCCCGCCGTCGCCGCCGTCGCCGCGGCACGCATCCAGCAGCGCCGCCCACTGGAACGCGCCCGTGGCCGGCGCGACGATCCGGCATAGCTTGATGCGCTGATTGACCGAGGTCTCGCCATGGCCGCCGCTGCTGCTGTCAGCGGCCGCTGCAGCAGCAGCAGCAGCGGCGTCCAAGATCTGATCAAGGCTTGCCATGTCGGCAAAGCGCCTTTGGATGGATCAGATTACCTCATGGCTGCATATGCGATCAGCAGATATGGTTACTGAGGTAGCTTATGACTTTCCCTAAGTTGGAAACCTCAGCCTGAGTCATCGTTGGCTTGCGTGATGATGGACTCCACATTTGAACGACATCCAGGGGCCGCTTCTCCATCTAATCACGGCCTATTGCAATTCGTTCAATATCTTTTCGCGACCTAATCACAGATACGCCTGCAGCCCTGCAAAAGGATCAAGCCCAAAGAGCGCTTTGGGCCCTCGGCGGCCTTACGGGACCCACCGGACGCACTGAGATGTGAAACACCATGGTGCTCTTCGGCAGGGCCAGGACGCCCGGCGGGGAGAGCGGCAGCGAGGACGGCGGCGCGTCCGAGGCCCCCTGGAGCGTCGCCGGCGGAGGCTTTGACAAGGTGGGCAACGACCCCGCGGCTTGGTCATTCAAACGTGAGCTCTGACAGCACGCAGGTCTTGCTGCTTGGACCCTGGGCACGCATCCGCAAACCGCCGCCCCGCTGTCCTCCCCAGCCCACATCGCCCTCTCCTGTCTTCTGACGCGCGCCCTCCGCTCGCGGCGCCCCCAGGCCGCGGCCGCCGCGGCTGCCGCCTCTCGCCGCCAGGAGCGCCTGTGGAAGGACGCCCCCTACCAGCGCTGGGCCCGCCATGGCTGCAGCCTGCTAAAGTATCACCTCCGCAACGGCTGCCCCCCCGCGCTGCGGCCCGACGTCTGGCTCCACGCGAGCGGCGGCGCCGCGCTCGCCGCCGCCGCGCGGGCGCCATACCCCGCGCTCGCACGCGCGGGCTACGCGTCCCTGGCGCGTGCCCGCGTGCCGGGC